TATAATTCACATTTCCACTACAAACTAATCCAATGCTGGAAACCATATTGATTTGGACACCTTTATTAGAGAAATTCTTGGAGAAAATGTACCAGATTAGGTATCTTCTTAGAGAATCTCAATGGCTATTATTTGTTGCAGAGTACATGGTGTTTAGGTTAGCTCAGTGGTTAGAGCACTCAACAACAACAACAAGAAAATTACATTTGCTTATCGCCTTTCACGTCGGGAGTATGTCCCAAGTCGCTGGAAAGTCAATGCTTCGGTCCCGAGCTGGAGGGTGGAGTGTGGGGGAAGCAGGGTGATCGAAAGCATGCTCAAAAAGAAGGGTCTTGAGATGGGTCTTGAAGGAGGCAAAGGAGGGGGTGAGATGGAGGGACTGTGGGATGGAGTTCCAAAAGGTGGGGGCAGCGTGAGAGACCTGGGTTTGATTCCCAGCAGGGCAAAATGTTTGGCAAGTTTCCTTACTCCACATGCCTCTGTTTACCAAGCAACAAGCAGGGACCTGGTTGTTACTTGATTGGTGGATCGCTTTTCTGAGATAATAATCCTTCAACAAAACAATTATTTGGTCACTCAGTCCACGATTGTTTGTGGGACATTGCTGTGCGCAATTGGCTGCCATGTTTCGCCCACAAATATACAGTCAATTCACTTTACAGTATATTCTGTGAAGTACTTTGAAATGTCTAGAAGACGTGAAAAGCACTATATCAAATGCAAGGATTATTATTATTCAGGGCCGAAGAGGCTAAGGAGTGAGAAAAATGTACAGGTTGGAAGGGAGAGTGAGAAAAGCAAATAACTTAGTGAAATAGCAGAAAGAAAGAAAACAATGAGAGGTTTGGCAGGAAGAATGAAAATAAACAGAGAAAAGAGAGCAACAGAAGGAAATATAGATAGGAAAGAGGGTACAGGATAAAGAAAAGAAACAAGTCAGAAAAGAAAAACTGTGTAGTGAACATTAAGTTATAAATTGTACAAAAAAATCTTAGAGATAATCATGCACATCGGGGACTATCAAACACTAATTTCTAGAAATAGTGATCTTTTGATTATGTCTTAAAATGTAAAGAAATATGGTAATTTCCCCCCCCCCCCCCCACACACACACACACACACAATAATGCTTTTGGATGTTCACAGGAAAGCAAACAAAATAAGCCAAATATGAAGTGAAAAATATACAAAGAAAGTCTAATCACATTGAACTAAACTAATTTCACTCAGGGTTATTACAGCCACAGAGAGGTTTTTATCCCATCCGCCTGAGCTACATTCAAACTCAGGTTCCAGACGTTAAAGAGTAGCTTTCTACCCTGTTCTCGCTTTTATTCCTCTCCAATCTAGCCAAGTGTCAAATCCCATGTAATACTCAAAAATTTGCTTTAGACGCTTACAATAGGGATCAGATTCCGTTTAATGGCATTTACCCAAACTAAACGAAGTCTATGAACCATTTATACTCGCCTATGTCTTGTAAGAGCACATGTCTGACAGAATCAAATTTCTAACCTGATACAGTGCACCATTGTGCACTATATATGTGTAAACGCAAGTGGGTAGGGATAAATGAGTTATCTACAAGTTAGTAGGTTTAAATCCCACTATGAAACTAGACACAATAAAGTCAGCAGCTTCACTGAAAAACAAAGTACCCTCAATGGCACAACGTACATATATGGTTCAGATCACAGAGTTTGGACATCTTTGGAAAGTTTAATAGGCATCTTTGGAATGTACAAAAGTGTATATTCAAAATATTCTTTTTTTTGGTTTAAGATTAATAAAATCCTAGAATCTCAAAGATAATGTTGTGTTTGATTCGTTGCTTATTTTGGAGTCCTGTAGCTCAGTGGAGGCCTGGGTTTGATTCCCGGCAGGGCGCAACCTTGGGCAAGTTTCCTTACTCTACACACCTGATAATAATCCATCAATAAAAAAAACAATTGGTTACTTCAATCCACAACTGTTTGTGGAACACTGCTGTGTGCAATTGGCTGCTGCATTTCGCCCACAAATATACAGTCAATTCATTTTACAGTATAGTCTGTGAAGTGCTTTGAGACGTCTCGAAGACATGAAAAGCACTATATCAAAATGCAAGAATTATTATTATTATCACTAGCAGTAGAGCTGGGACTTATTATTTCAAACCAACATGTACAATTATCTGGAATCAGACTGGTATGATCAGTTCCTGTATCTGATTCTTTCAAACACAGATTAGATTTTCTTTTAGGAAATAACGTTATGGGATATAGTGCATAGGTAGTTTGGGACATATGTGCATGCGACCATCAGGAAGGTGGAAGGCGAGCTAGATGGAGCTTGGTCCTTTTTCGTCTAGCATTTCTTGTGTTCTTACCCTCTAGATAGTGCCAGTGCAGTTCTGAGTGCATCTGCTGATCACATCCCTATGCTCTACCTAAGATTAACAACTATCATATAAAGAATTTTGAGGCAAATCCACATTCTATGCTCCGTATACTGGCACATCAACACTTTCCATCAGGAAGTATAGCATTCTAATTTTTGTTTTGTATGTTTGTCATTTTATACCAATCCCCACCACCACCCCAACACACAACACACACTTATTATACTTCAAATGACATTCTGAGCAAAAAGAGCAAGTTAGGTCATGTGTTCCAAGGATCTGTTAGGCCTACTTTTAATAAGACAACTGGGAAGTCCACTAGAACAGCCAGGGTGACTCCACTGCCAATTCTCCCTTCCTTCCTATTGGGAATGATCTGGCCTCTATTCTGTACCTCCTCTTCACATTATGTTTCAGAATGGAAACTAAAAACATAGGAAACCTGCCAGCACAAACCCACTTCTGATCTCTTGAGGGCACTGCTTGTTGGAAAACCAAATGCTTTACACCACCAAGCTGCCTCCTTGGATCCATTTTTCATCCTAGTTTCATAATAGTATTATTATATTATGTCACAATCAATTTTGTACTGGCATTACTTCCATTAATACTGGGTGGTAATATAAACAGGGCTCTATGTATTTATATGTCTGTAAGGATTCGGATGTGTTTTTATTATTAATAATCATAGAATTTTTATAGTTCTGTGTAGAGAACTCAAAGGGGACCACATAAAAGTATGTAAAACAGCTCTTTATTTAGATTTGTTTGATCCATTATCTTAAGAACATCCATTAGATGAGTAAGGACAAACAATCTTCAGACATGTGTATGTCAAAAATCAAAGCAGTAAATATTTGTAACATTTAAACCTGTTCTACCAGTTGAACATTGGTCGACATAGAAAGATTATACTGTGTACCATTCCATCAGTTAAGGCAGGGAGAAAGGGAAGAACCGCAGGATGAGTCATAAAACTGTTTTTTTTTAAATATGTAGTGCCCACAATTACATTTTTTTCCAACCCATTGACAACTGCATCAATTGCCTGCCAATTATAGTCCTGGGAGATGAGACTATACATGTTTCCCAATATTGATTTCCTCCGTCATCCAATAAAAAGGAAATTGAAGATCTGATTAAATTAGGAATAATTTTTCAAACATAGCTTGTACAACTACATGGAGAAGTAAGTATAGGGCATTCAATTTTTAAAACAAAATAAATAGAAAACACATCTGTTTTCAATCTGGCCTAGAATACTGCACAATCACATTCCTTGAAGCCCTTATCTCAGTACAAGTAGAGAACTGTGATAGCACAAAAAAAATGCAAACAATGCATACCTTCTGCAAACTATTTCTACATTTAATGTCAATTTTTACTTTAACCTTCTTTAAGATGTGGCAGAAGTGAATCAGCTTCTAGGTTTAGCTTTTCTGGATTCGATCATTTTCTTTTTTAGGAGAATGTTCCAAAATGACACATGATAAATCTAACTTACTGACCTTACATACAGCAAACTACAAATGTACCACATACCAACATGTATTTTGTACAGGGCCTTAATGCTTAAACACAGATTTTGTTTTGCTGTTGGCGCCTGGGAATGAGTAACCAGAAGCATGATTACCACCAACAGTACAGAGAGCGACCACAAAATGGAATGGATAGCAGTAATGTTGACCTTTAGCCAATTTCTCCCCTTTAGTTTCTCTTTAACATTAGGAGGGACAAAATGGGTTTCTGGTGATGGTGATGTGCCAGACACCCAGCTCACCAAAAAAAGGGACAAAACCAATTAGATGATGTCCTTACCCTTTTCATGCTTGTAGGAATAGGTTCTCTGGCCATTGCTTGTCAGCACCCAACAAGCTGTTAGAAACATCAGGATTCACTCATTTATGTACATTTACTCCCAAAGTATATGGAACCAAGCAAAGCAGCTAGTCTCAAACTGAGGCAGAGTACGGGCCATTTCATTGTCAGGCAGGTTGGACTTCCTTTAAAGATTGAAATGAAGTTGGTGAGTTGGCAGTAAATGTTACAGCAAGAATGCTTGGAGTAGGAAAGAATAAACATAGATTTGACCCTAAATGGGGAGGTGCCAGCAGACCCTGTGGAGTCTTTCTGCAGCAACAGTGAAAGTGAAAATCATAGGAAAGAGTCGCTTCCTCAGCATCTCTGGCACCTCATGGCGTTTAACTACAGGAGCTGGTCAAGAACAATCACTCCTTCTCTGCAACTGAAGAGCCCAAAATAGGCAAAACCCAAATGTGAAGCATGATTTGCAATGAAAAACTGCAATTAAAAGCTATCTAAATGGTTGAAATGTTAAGCTAAATGCAAATATAATGATCACCAGTCGTAGTGTAGAGTATTTTACACTGTTGTTAGAACGAACAGTAAACTCCTGATAACTCGTCACTCCAAGAGAAAAAAGGAATCAGTGGCAAGTTATCTGGAGTGGTGAATTAGGCATATGTATGAATACTGTACATAAATAAATGCAGCCAGGACATAGGCAGCAAGCTGAATTCAAATGGTAGTGACAAGTTAAACCAGGGTCATGTTATCCGTAGTTTACTGTATATACAAATATCCAGAACAAATGTCTTACCTAGTTATTAAAACAGCATTATCGTGATGAGCAATCCCATTTTCTGGAATGGTGTTTCCATCATTTTGGTGAGAAAGAATGGATTTTTGCCACTTACAAAAGCTGTCCAGGGACTTGTCTGCATGATGATTTATCTCCAAGTTTGGCTAAAATACAAGTATATGCAAAAGATTCACATGCATAACTGAACAACGAGTTCTTCTTTGAAGAATAAAAATGAAGACTATAATTAATATAGCTTTAATAAAACAGTCCCTTCTTGACATTTTTTATCCATTGAAAACTATCCTTTATTTTATTTCTTCCAGTCAGACTTTAATCATAACATGATCATTTATTATTTTTCACCAACCCTTTGCATAACAATTTGATCAATTCAAATGTTAAAACATTTGGTAGAATAAGCACTATGGACTTAAATCACATTCAACTTGATTCATCTTACCTGATCTTCCGTAAGAACGATCAGACGAGTCACAATTATGTTCACAACATTTCCAAGACTGGAATCACGGTAAAGTTTGGCAACCTGACCTCCAGAAAATAAGAAAAGACACAAAGTCAGACAAAGTAAAATTCCTAAATTTGATTTTTCTCTAACAATTGATGGTATTTTCATAATCAAATAATAATACTTGCATTTGATATAGCACCTTATCACAACGTTGAGATGTCTCAAAGTGCTACACAAAATATACTGCAAAGTAAATTGGCTGCATACTTTGTGGGCGACACGGCAATTAAACAAATAAGGCTATCGATCTTGAAACTTGTGTTTAAAATATTTAACCTTAAACTACACTATACTTATTTCTCTCCATGAGCAAATAAATATTTATTCTACGATTGTGAGACTATTAGAAAATAATTTATTAGTAACTATCTAAACAGATCCAAAAAAGTACATTTGTTTCACAGAAATTGTACTATTTGTTTTCCATTTACTGCCATGCGACTATTTATCAATAACATGTCTTTGGACTGAAATAATAATAATCATCAACATTACCATCCTTCCATTTAGTATAGCATCTTTCATGTTCGGAGGACTTCTAAAAGCGTTTCACAGAATATAAAGTGTAGTGATGGTGTTTTGTGGATGACCCCAGCAGCCAATCTGTGCACAGCAATGTCACACAAACAGCCATGAAGTGATTGACCAAATTTATTGGGGGATTATTGGACAGGACACCAAGAAAAACACCCTTCTCTTGTTGAAGAGTGCAATAGGATCTTTAACATCCACCTGAACAGCCATAGAAGGGATCTCAGTTTAATGTCTCACCCAAAGGACGTCACCTTCAACAATGCAGCACACCCTCAGCATTTCATTGGGGTGTCAGCCAAGATCATATGAGTTCCAGATCCCAATATGGGGCTTGACCCCACAATCTTCTGACTCCAAGGCAAAACTGCTACCGACTGAGCCAGGTTGACACACATGGCCACAACTGGTTTTCAGACTCCACAATTGCCTCATGCTGGTTAACATCAACAAAACCTTGCATTCATATAGTGTATTTCACACAGGGTGAGATCTCAGACTGCTCAACAGTGGCGGAGCTTGACATCGATCTAGGGAGATAGGGGGAAAGTGACCGTACATACGGTCAAAGCGGAAGGTCTTCAAATGCAACTTTCCTGAGGGATGTGCAGGAGGCTGGAGCCACCTGAGCAAAGGAGGCAGGTAGAAGAGTGAGATGTGAGCTGGTCGGAGAGGTAGGGAGGTGCCAGGGAATTAAGTGATTTGTATGTGAGTGTGAGGATCTTGTAATCAATCCGATAGTTATGGGAAATGGGATTGTTTCTTCAAATGCCAAGTTCCTGATCTCAGCCTTAATGGCTGTGTGAGTTTCTGAGATAACGTGCTTCCCACCAGATTTGACGGAACAGGTTGTGTCAACCCAGATTATTTTATGCACCTCCTAGTGGCTGATTACCAAACAGCATTACCAATTGCCACAAAATAAATCGCATGCTTTTGTACTGAACAGAGGAATGGTGCAGGGTATGGAGAGACCTCAGAAAAGGGAAAAATGTCATTTTATTAACAATAATACTTGCATTGGACATAACACTTTATCACGTCTTCGAGACGTCTCAAAGCTCTTCACAGAATATACTATAAAGTGGATTGACTATATTTTGTGAAAGAAACACAGCAGTCAATTGCGCACAGCAGTGTCCCATTATTACCCCTGGAAAAGCGATCCGCCAATTGACTAACAACGGGGTTCCTACTTACTACTAGGTTAACAGAGGCGTGTGGAGTAAGAAAACTTGCCTATCATTTCACTCTGCCTGGGAATCAAACCCAGGTCCAATTTCTTGCTAGGTGAGTGTTCCAACCAATATGCTACAGGACTTCAATTAAGAAGATGTCAACAATAAAAAGCAAATAGGACATGACTAGTAATGGTACTAATGTAGAGATAAAACGTGTTCTAAAATGATGGTGAAATAAAGTTGAAAAATGGAAAAACCGTGCAGTGTTGAATCTTTTAAAGGGACAATATCCCTCATGCTTCTCCCCATCTGGATATTGCTCTAATCTTCTAGATTGGAGATTGTACTAATGGGAAAAATATCCCCAAGTGCAATTCTATATAACAATCCTGCTATGCTTGAGTACTCCAGTTTGGTTTTATTGCTTATGAAACTATCTTATAGCGTTAGTTTCGCCCACAAAATATACAGTCAATTCACTTTGCAGTATATTCTTTGAAGCACTTTGAGAAATTTAGCAGACGTGAAAAGCGCTATATCAAATGCAAGGATTATTATTATTATAGTTACTGATATCATGAATCATTGTATTAAAACAAATTCCCTTATATATTGAATAATAATCCTTGCATTTGATAAAGAGCCTTATCATGTCTTCGAGATGTCTCAAAACATTTCACAGAATGTACTGTAAAGTAAATTGACTGTATATTTTGTGGGCGAAACGCGGCTGCCAATTGCGTACAACAGTGTCCCACAAGCAGTCGTGAATTGAGTGTCCAAATTATTATTATGAAATGTCATAACCTCTCTAAATGAGAAGAGAACATTCCTCTTAGAACACTGCCTGAAACGTTTGAGCTATAACATTTGTTCGTCATTTTCAAAAGAAATGAATATGCAATAAATATTTACCATTTAAAAACACAAAGGGATAAAACTTACAATATTCATTACAGACAAGATGTAATGTTCAATATCCTTGCGGCCGTGGTATCCCACCATCATTTTGTCTGCCACTACAAGAGTTTCCACAAAGCGTTCCAGGCTTATTGATCTCTTTTGTCGATGGTGACTGCTTGCTGTGTTGTTATTTGGCAAAGAAGCTGGAAAGGCCGAGGGATCATTCAACCACCAGCGATTTCCTCTTCCTGTGAGGTCTTCTAAGGAATAAATAAAATCAACTGCTTTAGCCGGGTTAGTTGTTAAGCAACTGACAGCTACAGAGCTACTTGTTCAGGAATTGAAGCCATCACAAACAAAGCAGTAATCAAATGGTTTGTAGTAGTAAAATAAGAGATTTTGTTATGGTAAACAGCTACGTTATAGATTTCAGATGATTGCTTAACAAACAAAAACACATAATGCCTCTGTAAATTGCTTTTTAAAAAAAGGAATCAATTTGGATTATTTTTCCCTTAAACAGGAGTATTCAAATGAGTTTTCCCTTTTTTTTCCTGTAGTTAACCTGCAACTATCTGGTCTGATATCTACAGCTTAGAAGGCAGGTGGCAGCTTGTTCCCAGCCTGCTACCTACACCCTTGTATCAGCAGCCAAGAACTAGTGGGGACCACCTAGACATGACTTCTTATTTTTCCTTATTGAGAGAGAAGGTGGTTACCACTTGTTGACATCCTACTTGACAAAGCTGTATAGGGAATTGAGCAGAGCAGTATGTATCCAACCCTGTTCAGGGTTACAGAGCACAGGCAATGCTAACACAACTCACCACATCTCTGACTCATTATTTACTTTAATGTATCTGAGTCATTAGTGATTGAGATTATGACACATTGGAGTATCCACCAAACAATCAGTTACTATACTTACTATAAACAATTACTTACTATAAACCCAGCCAGAGATATACTGTATCTCTGCTAAACTAAATGACAGTAACAACTTGCATCTATATAGCACCCTTCACATAGAGTATCAAAGAAAGTGCCGGAGGAGGAAGGTGACAGTATGCACGGTCAAAGAGTAGGTTTTTAAGATAGATGATAGAGGGGGTGAGATGGAGGGGTTGAGAGAGGCTTTCAGCAGCATTAGAGGTGAGACAGGGACAGAGGCAGGCAATGTGGTGAAGATGCAGACAAGCTAGAATGTCCTTTGATTAGGGACCGAATGTGAAAGAGGAAAGAGAGCAGAGAGTCAAACTAAATACTTGGTTATATTTGGTTCACTGAGTTGGAGAGAGAGGCCGTGAAGGTTGAGGATGTCAGAGCCAAAAGCAAGGAGACACTGACAGAAGTATGAAATACTATTATCCAAATGTATTAATCTTAGTATTAATCTCTATCAGATCTGTATTTATGTAAGTATATAAAGTTGCTAATTCCCTTTAGGGGACTTCTGTTTTCTTGTGTAGGTGTCAGTAGCCCTTTGATTCCTCTTTCAAGTGACCATTCTTCACTAAGTCCAGATAGTGATTGTTACCAGGCAGGGGAATATCACAGTTGTCTCAAAGGATATCCATCTACAGGTACTTTCCACCAGGGGTCACTGCACAACTAACAGGAAGACACCAAGTATAAAATAATAAAGCTTTAATGATTCTTAAATTGATGAGCAGATAACTGAATAAAATGCAACTTATAATAATAATAATCCTTGCATTCGTCTCAAACACGTCTTTGAGATGTCTCAAAGCTCTTCACAGAATATGCTGTAAAGTAATTGACTGTATACTTTTGTGGACGAAACTTGTAGGTTACATCAATCCTGTTGTCAAAAATATTCCTTAAAAGCAATCTATATAATTTATATAAACACAGTTTTGAAGAAGCATTAAAGTGTAGGCGGAATTCCCAAAAACCACAGAGAGGGAAAAAACAGTGTTACAACCATACTTTCCCCATTGCGAGGACCAGAGGTGCTCCATTTCATTTAATGGGAGGGAATACTGGGAGTCTATCCAGAGCCACTGGATCTTGAGAAAGTTCAGTGTCAGCAACAATACCCTTGACTGAGATAATGAGTGGGTGACCTGCTCTAAGACCATTCTGAATGTCAATGCTATCCTTGAATCAATAACCAGATGTGTGTAAGTGGCCTTGGGTGACATGACCTCTAATTTGCCCTCCCTGTAAGGAGCAACTGGCATCTCCTCAATTTCTTTTTCTACCAGCATGGTGAAGTCTATAAACCTGACATGCGGCAAAGAATGCACATGATGTTGCATCTTCTCCCTCCGCTGTGTTGGTTTTAAACTAAACAAATACTTTCAAAATAAGTAGCTCAGCTCTATAAATTCTGCTTTGCATTCACTCACCAGAGTAAGTCTATGAAATGCACAACGGTAAAAAGTAAATTAATGTTATCCATGGTTTGTCACAGCTCTTTCCCGCCACACAAACTATTCACTGAAGTAAGTAATTAATCTATTTTTCCGTTTTCAAATTAGGCATGAATATCCCTAAGGAACAATGAAGTATATTTTAGTTTACATTTTTATATTTCTCCACAATTTTTTTATTTTTACCACTTGGATATTTTTTTCAGGTTTTTTTTTATGTCCATAAACAAGAGAAAATTGAGGTGAAAAAATTGAAACTAAAGTGCAACGGTAATTTAGCCAACAAAAGAGTAAAAATATGCTATTAATTTGGGTTTATCTCTCCATTTTAATGGTAGTCAAAGCACACCACGATACGCTTCACAGCACAATTCCAAACAGCTCCTTTACTCTCAGATCACAAGCAACAAATGAGCAATTCTGGCATCAAATAACATTAAATGGGCACCAAGAATAGATCCTGAAACACATTGCATAAAATGCTTCACTAAGGTCACCCATGCACTGAATCATCTGTGGGCACACAATTTGTGGATCAGCAGGACTGCAATGCAAGCTCCTTCCAGAAGCCAAAAGATGCCAGAAAATGGTGAGAACTTAAGTAATTTGGGGGTAAAATATTTTTACACATTGGCTTTGCAAAAAAAAGGGCGTATATATGGTGAAAATCAGTATAACATTAAAAGTTCCTAAGATTAAGCAGATATTATCTTCAAAATCTCTTTCTAAATCTCACCGCTCATTATTGCACCAGCCAACATTAGTAATAATCAAAGAAAATCAACATTTTAGTGGTATTTTCTTTTAGGTTGTTTTCTGTTCACTAATAGGATACAATTCAGGTTGGTCTAAATTTAATTTATCTATGCAACAATTCAGAGCATAAAGAATATGGCAAGTTCATCAATACAATCCATAGGAACCAATACCTAATAATTCTTTGCCATATGTTGAGGATTTTCTGGCTTTAAAGTTATAATAATAATCTTTGCATTTGATATAGTGCCTTATCGCATTGTTGAGATATCTCAAAGCGTGTCACAGAATATTGTAAAGTGAATTTACTGTATATTTTGTGAATGAAATGCAGCAGTCAATTACGCACAGCAGTGTTCCACAAACAGTCGTTTATACTTGTATCTATATTTAAGTGTAAATATTTCAATTTAGATTTTTACAGCTGAATCATACGGAAGGATCTTTTTACATCAACAATGAATCTCATCTCGCAACTTTTACTGTACTAATTAAAATCACATCATACCAAAAAGCAGTAAAGGCATTAAATACAGTGAACAGAGTTTCTGTCACACACAATATATATACATACAGATGGAAATTACTTATTTCAATATTTCTCTGTTTACAGAATTTCTTTACTGATCCTTGCTACTAGCTTATTACCACCAGAAAAGTCATGTTGGGAAAAAAATGTTGTATTTCACCAGATTTATGCTGTTTTATATTTGGAACATAAAACAAGTTACAGTATAATAATAATAATATAATAAATATAATAAAATTACCTGCAACTCCACAGTTCGAAGCCTTGGTGTGATGCTTTTGCCGGATCGAAGATAGCTTGTAAACAACATGAGGATGGTCTTCACCAAGAGTGAAGTCACTGGCATTCTTCACAGATATATTCTGTAGTGGCTCAATAAAATACTGATCTTCTTCTGTTACAATGACACCATGCTTGAGAAGAAAACAGAATATTATTAATTCACATTACAGCTCCTGATACATATGGATTTATATTTTATATGTATATATGTTTTTTTTTGCAAGCAAAAATCACTCTATTTTTGTAAGTTTAATCCTTTCTTTCTTTTAAAAAATCTCAGAAAAGTGAATTAAAATGTGAACGTAGGGAAATCATCCAAACGATTTGCAGAAAATACATTTTATTTTTGCTAGAGTTAGTATATATTAAATTTAATGACAATTAAAAGCTTACATTTTAACTTTTTTACCTTGTTTTTTATCAAGGAGACATGCATATGATTAGATTTTTTTGGAAAAGCATACTAGCATAGGTTAAACATTTCTTTATTTTCTTTCAAACAGTTTAATAAATAAACTTGATTGTTGTTTTAATGTATTTTGTTATCTTCATACAAGACAGCAACTAACAGTTTGTAATGGCAATTCATCTTCAGTCAAACAAGAAATACGTTTTAATCTAAAACTTTGTTTGAAAGCTGCTGTACACTAAACAAATCCAGTAGTGCATGCACCAAGCTTAAATCACTCCTTGTAAATTTGCCATAAACATTTTATCTCCTTGGAGTGAGGATGCCGAATAATTTATGCACACTTTTAGATTTTACTGAAGAAAAAAGGGTCATATTTCCTTACAAATGTAATTGTTTATTACATTTCTAACATTATTTTAAAATAAAGTTATTCGAACTGTAAGAATATTTGCCGTGAATCTGTGCTTTAATATGTTACACTGGAAGTTGTGTGCCTGGGTTTATGAATAACATTCAGTCAGCAGAGGCCAGGAAAAGGGATCTGCCTCTTTAAGATCTGGCTATCCTTCCCACTATGGTGGATCATATGCAAATTAGCCATGTGCAACATGCAGAGGGACAGCTGTTTATGCTTGTTCTCATAGAACAATTCCATTGGGCTGTTAACATCTCCCAGGAATAATATTTATGGTTACTGCATAATATCACCAGCCTATGCAATACATCATTAAGTAAATTAACAAAGAAATATCCCACGTTTCCTATTCTACTCACCAAACCATTACAGTTGCTTAAAGCCACTTTCGTGGTACTGTACTCATTTTGTACATATCCAACGTAATGGCAGTTATCAATAAATTCGTGTTTCCATTCTGGACCATCTTTCCCCCAATACTCTACAATAAAATGTCTGGAGATTAAATTAGTATTTAAAGTCAAGTTTAATTGAAAGTGCTTTCCATAGGCGGACAGTCTGTAAAATAATTTAGATTCATTTGGATCATGAGGGGCAGGATCTGAACTTCTCCTTCGCCTTGAATGTCTGTGGCTTTTTCCACTGTAGTTGAGGAAATCTCCGTTGTGGTCCACTCGGACAGGAACCGTGAGCTGATAATGTTCAAGGTAAGAAAGGAATTCCTCTTTGAAATCACAAGGTGGAAAGGTCCAGGAAGTGGGCGTGGAAGAAAAAAAAGGACGTGACAAAGTACTACAAAACATGAGTTAAATTCATTCAATCCACAATCTAAAAAGAAATCGCTCTCATATAAGTTTAGAATGTAAACGATACCAAATAATGACAGCATATGCCGTGACACCATTAAATGTTATCATATGGAATCAAATCAACTTACAGTGGAATCTTGTTAAAGTGGCAAAGACAAAGAGCCAGACTTGTGTACAACAGATCAGTTACCCATTGAAATGTGGCTGGTAATACTCTTTAATACCACGACATTGCCACAAATTTGCTGCTAAGATTCAGTCATATAAATGTGATTTTACATAAGAATCAGAGTTCATTGTTAATACCCATTAACATTTAGTTGTGTTCGTGGCTTAATTCAGGTTATAGCAAATGACGCTTTAAGCAGCTTTGTCCCTGTCTTGCTCAATTCCAGATCTGATGGTTATAACAGAGCTGCATTACATACATTTAAATATATTGTATTATCACGATTCAAATCACTAAACATGTAGCTCGATTATTCTAGTAATTACTTGTGCTATTATTGTAACCAGAATTGAGTCGAAAACATGAGAAAATGTAGCTAAATAAAAGCTAAACTGTGCCAATAATGGCCAACATTCATATTCACACACAGTCCAGAAAATGTATTTTTAAATGTAATTATGATGCAGTGCTGTCATTCTACAGTTGAATTCTCAAGATTAGATGGTCCTACCTTGAGAACTGTAAGATAGCCGTGTGTCACTGTAAAATTCCGAAGCAGCCATGACCAGGCTCAAAATCCAAGTCAACGTCTTCCACAAAATTTCCATAATTTAGTGAACGTAAAACTATTTGATGCTACCTTTGCGCTAGACAGTTTTGTCGACTCCAGAAGAGCACCATAACAAGCCCATGGGTCTCTGCGTTCTCGGCACGTTTCCGTGCGGCGGTGGCTCTCAGCGCCGACAGGGCCAGCAGCCCCTGCACCAACCCGTGTGCCCACTTCTCTCCACACACAAAGCCATCATCAACGTTGAGAAGCCCTCACAGACCAGGGAAACACCAAGACGCATTGGCCGCTTATTTGGAATCAGTCATCCGTATGCCTGCAAAAAGGGAACATTGCGTATTGAAATATAATTCATTGTTCTGCGTGTTTCTTTTGCAGCAGTACAGATTGACGGTCTATAAAATCAGATTTACCATTTTCTTTTTATTTTACACATTTGTTTTTATTGTGTCTTGGTGCAATGCAATAAACAGGGGCCAGCCTTATCACAATATTGTTAGTAATCTTAACTAATGCAATACCGATAAGAGAGGATTAAGACAGACATATGTGGTACATCAGAAAGGGAATCCTCTTTCTTTGGGAAGTCAACCCATCTTTTTTTTAAATATGTGAAATTGTTGATTCTTAACATCCGATCTTTGAAGAGGTAAACAAGCTCAATTAAGAAAATACAGCTGACTGCTCCAACACAACACATTTTTAAAAAATCAGAGCAAACTTATTAACGTTGTGTGTCTTCCTAAACTAAACCAATAGTCAGCAGAACAATTGGTAATCAAAACAACTCCCTCTTGTGAGAACTCATGCGTTTCAGTGTTAGTGAAAACAAAGCTTATTATGAAGTTAAAAAGTGCTCGTGCAGCATTTTTCTGCAGCCCCTTTCTTTTCCTCCCTCGACCCCCGAGGCAACGTCTAGCTGCACCGCACTCAGAATGCAGCATGGTAACATACGTCAATAGCCACCAATGCTACATGCTTTAATGTGAAGAGTTTGGGATGGTTCATTGACATTGATTGCTCTGAGGATGCCTCATGTTGCCCCATCGTCACCTAACGCGGTCCCTCCCACACCCGAGCTCGCGGCAAAGGTTGGTTGGTCGGTGGGCACCGACTCCTGCAGCCCATCACAGCCTCTCCTGGCTGATGGACATCCCTCTCACCAATCACAGAGTCAGGCCTCAAAAAATCACGTACACATAACGAGGAGCTTGAAAGTTAGGCGCCCAAAGGGAGGGTGAACTGAGCAAACCTCTCCCAAGGGAATGAGCGCTCTGAGCAAGGCTAACCCAGGGGGAATGAGACTGAGCAAGGCTAACCCAGGGGAATGAGCGCTCTGAGCAAGGCTAACCCAGGGGAATGAGACTCTGAGCAAGGCTAACCCGGGGGAATGAGCGCTCTGAGCAAGGCTAACCCAGGGGAATGAGACTGAGCAACAACAACAACAACAACAAGATTCCATTTATAGAGCGCCTTTCACGTCAGGAGGACGTCCCAAGGTGCTGCACAGTTGGGTCATGACCCGAGCAGGGGGGAAATGGTCAGGGTGAGGGGAGGGAAGGGAGGGAGAGAGGAGGGGGGAAATGGTCAGGGTGAGGGGAGGGAAGGGAGGGAGCGAGGAGGAGGAAGAGAGTCGAGAGGGGAGCTGAAGGCTCGGTCAAAGAGAAAGGTTTTGAGACCGGCCTTGAAGGAGGAAAGGGAGGAAGCAAGGCGAAGGCACTGGGGGATGGAGTTCCAGAGCCTGGGGGCTGAGAGGCTGAAGGCCCGACCACCGATAGTAGGGCGGTTGGGGCGGGGGACGTGGAGCAGACCGGAGCCAGAGGAACGGAGGGTACGGGCAGGTAGGTAGGGGGATAGTAGGTCGGAGAGGTAGGAGGGAGCAAGGCCGTGAATGGCCTTGTAGGTGAGGATGAGGATCTTGAAATCAATCCTCTGGGGGATGGGGAGCCAGTGGAGGCGAGCGAGGGTGGGAGTGATGTGGTCGCGAAGCCTGGTGCGGGACAGTACACGAGCTGCAGAGTTCTGAATGACCTGCAGCTTGTGGAGGGAGGTGGCGGGAAGGCCGGCGAGGAGAGAGTTCCCATAGTCCAGCCTTGAGGTGACAAAGGCGTGAACCAGGGTTTCAGCGGCGTGAGGGGTGAGGTAGTGCCGTAATCTGGCGATATTCCGGAGGTGATGGAAGGCGGTGCCAGTTGTGGTGCGGATGTGAGGGAGAAAGGACAGCTCAGGGTCGAACAAAACGCCGAGGTTCCTGACTGGCTTTGAAAGGTGGAGAGTGCAGCCTTGGATGCTGATGGTGTCAGCGCCTGAGGTTAGCAAGGCTAACCCAGGGGAATGAGAGCTTTGAGCAAGGCTAACCCAGGGGGAATGATACTGAGCAAGGCTAACCCAGGGGAATGAGCGCTCTGAGCAAGGCTAACCCAGGGGAATGAGACTGAGCAAGGCTAACCCAGGGGAATGAGACTGAGCAAGGCTAACCCAGGGGAATGAGACTGAGCAAGGCTAACCCAGGGGGAATGAGACTGAGCAAGGCTAACCCAGGGGAATGAGCGCTCTGAGCAAGGCTAACCCAGGGGAATGAGCGCTCTGAGCAAAGCTAACCCAGGGGAATGAGTGCTCTGAGCAAGGCTAACCCAGGGGAATGAGCGCTCTGAGCAAGGCTAACCCAGGGGAATGAGACCCTGAGCAAGGCTAACCCAGGGGAATGAGCACTCTGAGCAAGGTTAACCCAGGGGAATGAGAGCTCTGAGCAAGGCTAACCCAGGGGAATGAGCGCTCTGAGCAAGGCTAACCCAGGGGAATGAGACTCTGAGCAAGGCTAACCCAGGGGAATGAGACTCTGAGCAAGGCTAACCCAGGAAAATGAGCGCTCTGAGCAAGGCTAACCCAGGGGAATGAGCGCTCTGAGCAAGGCTAACCCAGGGGAATGAGCGCTCTGAGCAAGGCTAACCCAGGGGGAATGAGACTGAGCAAGGCTAACCCAGGGGAATGAGCGCTCTGAGCAAGGCTAACCCAGGGGGAATGAGACTGAGCAAGGCTAACCCAGGGGAATGAGCGCTCTGAGCAAGGCTAACCCAGGGGAATGAGCGCTCTGAGCAAGGCTAACCCAGGGGAATGAGACTGAGCAAGGCTAACCCAGGGGAATGAGCACTCTGAGCAAGGCTAACCCAGGGGGAATGAGACTGAGCAAGGCTAACCCAGGGGAATGAGCGCTCTGAGCAAGGCTAACCCAGGGGAATGAGCGCTCTGAGCAAGGCTAACCCAGGGGGAATGAGACTTAGCAAGGCTAACCCAGGGGAATGAGCACTCTGAGCAAGGCTAACCCAGGGGAATGAGACTGAGCAAAGCTAACCCAGGGGGAATGAGACTGAGCAAGGCTAACCCAGGGGAATGAGCGCTCTGAGCAAGGCTAACCCAGGGGATTGAGCGCTCTGAGCAAGGCTAACCCAGGGGAATGAGCGCTCTGAGCAAGGCTAACCCAGGGGAATGAGCACTCTGAGCAAGGCTAACCCAGGGGAATGAGACTGAGCAAGGCTAACCCAGGGGAATGAGCGCTCTGAGCAAGGCTAACCCAGGGGAATGAGCGCTCTGAGCAAGGCTAAACCAGGGGAATGAGCGCTCTGAGCAAGGCTAACCCAGGGCAATGAGCGCACTGAGCAAGGCTAAACCAGGGGAATGAGCGCTCTGAGCAAGGCTAACCCAGGGGGAATGAGACTGAGCTTGGCTAACCCAGGGGAATGAGTCTCTGAGCAAGGCTAACCCAGGGGAATGAGACTCTGAGCAAGGCTAACCCAGGGGAATGATCGCTCTGAGCAAGGTTAACCCAGGGGAATGAGCGCTCTGAGCAAGGCTAACCCAGGGGAATGAGCGCTCTGAGCAAGGCTAACCCAGGGGAATGAGACTCTGAGCAAGGCTAACCCAGGGGAATGAGACTCTGAGCAAGGCTAACCCAGGGGAATGAGCGCTCTGAGCAAGGCTAACTCAGGGGAATGAGCGCTCTGAGCAAGGCTAACCCAGTGGAATGAGCGCTCTGAGCAAGGTTAACCCAGTGGGAATGAGACTGAGCAAGGCTAACCCAGGGGAATGAGCACTCTGAGCAAGGCTAACCCAGGGGGAATGAGACTGAGCAAGGCTAACCCAGGGGAATGAGCACTCTGAGCAAGGCTAACCCAGGGGGAATGAGACTGAGCAAGGCTAACCCAGGGGAATGAGCACTCTGAGCAAGGCTAACCCAGGGGAATGAGACTCTGAGCAAGGCTAACCCAGGGGGAATGAGACTGAGCAAGGCTAACCCAGGGGAATGAGCGCTCTGAGCAAGGCTAACCCAGGGGAATGAGCGCTCTGAGCAAGGCTAACCTAGGGGAATGAGACTCTGAGCAAGGCTAACCCAGGGGAATGAGACTGAGCAAGGCTAACCCAGGGGAATGAGCGCTCTGAGCAAGGCTAACCCAGGGGAATGAGCACTCTGAGCAAGGCTAACCCAGGGGAATGAGACTGAGCAAGGCTAACCCAGGGGAATGAGCGCTCTGAGCAAGGCTAACCCAGGGGAATGAGCGCTCTGAGCAAGGCTAAACCAGGGGAATGAGCGCTCTGAGCAAGGCTAACCCAGGAGAATGAGCGCTCTGAGTAAGGCTAACCCAGGGGGAATGAGACTGAGCTTGGCTAACCCAGGGGAATGAGTCTCTGAGCAAGGCTAACCCATGGGAATGAGCGCTCTGAGCAAGGTTAAACCAGGGGAATGAGCGCTCTGAGCAAGGCTAACCCAGGGGAATGAGCGCTCTGAGCAAGGCTAACCCAGGGGAATGAGACTCTGAGCAAGGCTAACCCAGGGGAATGAGACTCTGAGCAAGGCTAACCCAGGGGAATGAGCGCTCTGAGCAAGGCTAACCCAGGGGAATGAGCGCTCTGAGCAAGGCTAACCCAGTGAAATGAGCGCTCTGAGCAAGGCTAACCCAGGGGAATGAGCGCTCTGAGCAAGGCTAAGCCAGGGGAATGAGACTCTTAACAAGGCTAACCCAGGGG